GTATAATTGCTCTAATCGTTTCTGGTAACAAAGACACATGTTTCCTTGAAATAATGTAATTTTTTTGTAAATATAGAGGACAGACAATATATCTCACAACATTATGTAAATATGTAAACAACAAAACAGTTGATAGCATGAAAAAACTCTTATCATAGAAATGATATGCTCGCTGTGACATATCTGATTTTGTGGCGTTCGCTTCATTTTGACAAAACTCTGGTCCTGATTTAGACTGCATCAATAACTCTGCATCGTTAAATTCAACGATCTAAAATTTTGTTCATGTGTTCTTGGTCATACTGAGAAAACGACAGACCAAGAGTAGATTGCTTTGCTATATTAAACATTCCAGTGGGGTTGCCTGTTGGCCTACGGTAGATAGTAGATAGCGACATTTCTGCCAATATCTCGGACATCCTTCATAGCAGGTTTACTAGCAATTTTTTGGCTGTTGTTTCGTCAGTTAGCAGTTGGCTATTGATTTAGGATCAAGATCCATTACGAGAAGACCAACATTGTACATCCTGCGAAAGAGGCGAGTTGGATGGTCAAAATAGTCATTTCTTTGAGAGACTAAAATGAATTGTATTACACAGTTTTAAAATAAAGATTTTCAACGTTCTGAAAATATTGGCAAAGTGTTTTCTAATAATTAATAACAGTTTCACGTCTGTGGATCTTAGCACTATAATGAAAAGCCTCTTCAGTGCCAGGAACCGCTATAAAAGTCCACGTTCAACGGCATGATGGCACTTGTGAGGAAGGCATGGCAGCACGCAGTATGTAGCATTTACTATATACCATGGAATTCCGGCATCTTTTAACGGTTTCCTTGTCATTAGGTAATTCTTTGAAGTGCGTGAGGTCACAGCAAGTGACAATTGATATTTTGCTGGTATTAGCGAAAGCTGATTTGTGTTAAATATCCGTTCTTATTAACATTGATACAGTTTTACGGTAGAAATTCTTGAATTCATAGCGACAATGCGACGTAGATGATTCCAAGCGGATGTTCCATCTCTTGATCTAGAGTTCTGCTTTTTGGGAACTTCCCCTTCAGCTCCTTTCATAAACAAATCGTCTCTGGTTTGCGATGTCCGCTATATCTGTAGCTGTTCAATGCTTCCTCTACGCAGCAATGGATGAGCATTGCTGAAGGAAATATTCCTGTTTTAAGCGGATTTGCTTCTGTCTTGTTTATCCTTGTTGAGGTTCAATTCATCGTCGGTGTCTGCCATGTTCCGGTTCCCACACGGTAAGTTCACTGGCTGGAGTGAATTCTGTATTCTCAACCGTCACGGATAACAGCGCTAAGCTCCTTTTCTTAATCTCGTCATCTGCTGAGGTCACTTGTACAAAGAAGTGAATAAAACGATTCCTGCGTGATTCCTCCGTTTAACTTTCATTGTGCATCGAAGCAAACTCTATTGCACACCGTTACACTGTCGTTCTTGTTTCTTCGTTGGCACAGCTGTTTCCATGCCGTACAACAATGGCCTGACACAGAGAACATGCAGGCAAATTTTCCTGCGAAGTAGAATCAACCTCTCTTAGCCAATATATTAGACAGATTTCCAAAACCACTCAAGGCTTGAGTGATACTCCTGTTTAACTCTCGTTGGACAGTGTCATCCACAGTGATAATCGAGTTGGGATACTTAAACTCGTTTACCTGGCGAAGCGCTCTACCTCTCTTGTTCAGCTACACATCAGCTGTAACGCAGGTGTTCGTCCTAACTTTTGACTTCCGGACGTTTTGGAATAGGATCAATTTCGCAGCTCCCTTATATATGGAAACCATAGACTCGCAGAGGCTGCTTCCCGTACTCATCACCAAGACAGGTGACATACTCAAGTCAAGAAGATATCTAGCAGGATATGACGGATATCCGATTTGCCCTCCCTCTAAATGAGACCTTTGTCCTTGCCGGGTTGAGCATTGTTTCAGACCAGAAATTCGAATGGCAAAGCGAGAGCATGGCTCCCTGGCGAATTCCACAGTTAATAATGAACCAATCGTATAACTTTCATTTATATTTGATAGTATGATTGGTTTTTGAACACATATTTTAAAATGGAATCGCTGTGTTCAGGTGTCCCATATCATTGCAAACTTTTTTTCATCGTTGGACGACATGCTGAATCACAGGCAGCCTTAAAGTCGACTAAACTGTCAGATTGCAGCATTTCTCAATGGTCCTTCGCCGAGTAAAACTTTTGTCAAACGCAGAAATACCTCATCCGGAAGTTTGTTTGACTTGGCTGAAGTTTCCATCAACCGCCCGCCTCAGCCGTTCTAGAATAATCACAAAAAAATTTCCTGACTTGACAGTAGTTGATGCCACGATAACTGAAGCAGTCG